TACTATACTAAAACCCCAAAACCCCAAAACCCCTCAATCTTTATTTTTTCTAAAATGGTGAACATATAAAATATTAATTATTAGAATGTGCAAAGTTTAACACTCTGGTGGCTCTTCAAATTAAAAGCCTTTTGTTTTCAACTAGATTTTTAATATAGTAAACTTGATATGAGGCTATTGCTACGAAGATTAATCCTTCAACCAAACTGACATAGAAACTGTATTTTGAATTCGCCTCAATATCTATTTGAGTTGATATGATAAGTAATAAATAGCTTACGTTCATTTGAGTGTTCTAATCTTTTATTAGATACTCTTTGTTCAATTTGGACAGAGGTAAGTTACATTTGGATCTTGACAATGTCATCTGTTAAGTTTCTAAGGTGTTCAAATTCTACTATCTGCTCTGCTTCATCATACAAAATATTTTGCAGATTTATATAATCTTGCTGAGTTGTCTCTGCCTAATTTTGATCAGTAGATGTTCCAGTATTCACTTATTCGACTACTTTGCCTTCATCATTTCCTTAAGTTTGAATATAGAATTACACCTCTTTTGGTTGCTTTTACTAAAACACATATGAATTTGGGAATTATTACTTTTAAGTTTGAGAAAATGAAGGTGTATTGTCCCGGAGTCGTTAATGTTAAACTAAATACTCCCTCGCTCTTCTTTCTTCTGCTGTAAATAACTTGTCTCTTTGGATCTAATACAAAGAAATCAATGACTCCCTTTTCCTTATCAGCTCCTCTAGCAAAGTAGACACCTCTAGCTAATACTGTCTGTCCTTATTCGATATCTTCATAGTAGGACTAATATAAATTAAGAATTCAATGCTGATAATTATTATAATATTCTACCTGTTCTTATTTCGCTTGCAATTTAAATCCAACATTGAACTCTGGAATGAAATCAACCATTAGCTTTTCCCATTCTCTCATAATGTGATCATCCTCTGTCGTGTCTTCCTTTTTTTAAGTACCTTCTACATTTTCTTCAATTACCTTCACTTCTTCTTCACTAATATCTTGCAATTTCACTGTGTTTATGCATAAGACTATCAATCCCAGCACTAAATGTTGTTTGTATTAAGATGAACAAATATATGGACTATACCTTAGAGTAATTTGAACTTTTGATTTGAGCTAACCATTTTAATGAAATTATAAATATTCAATCAATTAACATCTTTAAATTTACTTTATTAATCACAATACGACATTAGCCTTTAAAGAATTATTCTTAACTCCCTAAAGCAATTCTGAGTAACGTACTCAAATGAGTTTTTCATAAGTAAAAATGCAATCATCATAGCTTTCGATGTCATAATCCATTATATTGCTTGTAACCAAGTCCTCCTTTTTGAAGTAGATCAAGCCCTTCAAACTATAAGAGACTTAGGTTGGTTTATACTTGCCATTAATTCCTACTACCTTTTCTAATACAGTTTTAATTGCTTGCATGAAGTGCTGAAGTTTTTTCCTAGTAACTTCTTTAGTACCTTTAGTCATATACTGAATATAATCGCCGATTGTAACAGTCAAGATAAATTTATCTTTGGCACTTTGATGAAGATCAATCTTTCCACTTATCTAAAAGTTAACATGAGCATCATTGGTTCCACCCTCATCTTTTTGATTCAAGAGCTCATTATAAAAGATCTGCTTTGATCCATACTATGAAAAATTATATTTGAAAGAGTCTTTCATCACCTGTCTATCAAATTCATGAATACCGAGGAATCTTTTCACAGGCCCGCTGGTAATTCTGTTAAGATACACTATGAAATCATCAAATCGATTCAACACTGCTTCTTATCCAAAGTCCTTACCCAAAGTCTCCATTAACCTTTACTTTATGTCAAATTCAAAAGTTTCATTGACATTGAGCAATAGCATATTTAACTTTTCAGAGGTCTATTCGAAAAACCTGACAGCTTCTTATTTATTTTCTTCAATAATTTCTTTGCCTTTAAACTGTTCTAAAGACTTGCGAACATTTTCAGCAATAGATTTAAATGGTCTACCTTTTTGCATTTTAGAAATTCATTAAATTGCTTTAATTTTTTATATTAATAGCCCGCGGGGTTTTGGGGTTTTGGGGTTTTGGG